CCTGAGGAGCAGCAGGTTTGAATTGTTCAGCTGGAAGAAGGGGCTGGGAGCTGGGTCTGAGGTCACAAGGATCCAGACACAGAGCAGGACCCCGTGTGCCACATTCCAGACTGGTTAAACTCCACTCCCTCCAGTTTCTCCCCAAGTCTGGCTTCTTTTCCTAAGAAACATTCTGGCTTCTTTTCCTAGGAAACATTTTGCTTGGTGCCAGGTTTTGGGTGTGACCAATTAGCAGGATTTTGAAGAATTCCAGATAAAAAGTGTTTCCTTTGACAGCTCCAATGCTATTGTCTTAGTTTCCAGGCAAGGGGAGATAAAGTAAGAACTGCTGCCATGGGAGTGTCGGGGTTACAACATACAGGAAGTATAAAATTCCTATTAAAACACAAACTGGCTTCATGGAACAATCCCACACAGACACTGTGGGAGTCACAGCAAAATAAAATTGGGATTTTACGTCTCAAACATGACATTTTAGCAGAAGAAACTGCAGTTACTCTCAGATTTGGGGTGCAAACAGTACCTGCACTTCCAGGGCCTCTGAGCCCTGGGAATGGGATGTACCAGCCCTCGTGTACCTTCCCAGGATGCCTGGAGGAAGCTCTGGGATCATGCCAGGGTGGGCTTCCAAAAATTTGGAATTTCCAATCCATTTCCAACCTTGGGAACTCCGGAATTATCAAATTTAGTGACGCACAAAGCAGCTTTAGGGAGGGACAGGAGGATCCTGCTGGAGTTGCCTGAAGTTTAGCAGAGAAGGGAGGGGGCTCACAACGTTTCCACGCCTCCAGTGCTCCCAGTCAGGGCACTGATTCCCCTTTAACAGGTTTTTTTCCCCAATCTGGCCCACAGACTGGCGTTTTTATGCAACCTCCATAGTCTGTATCCATGAGAAGTATCCCAGAGACCCCCCTTTGATCTGGAGCCCCAAACTACAGGACCAACATTACTGCTTTATCCTGGGATAACACCTGGAACAACACAGCTTTGTTTTCCCCAGCTTAAATGCAAAGACTTCTGGCTAAAACAGGAATATTCAGCTAATTAGACTGTATTTTTTTACATTTTTTCTCCTCTAAATCCACTTCTTCCTATCACAAGAGCCCTATAAGCCTCTAAATACAGACTATTCCAAAGCACTCAAAAGTCAGTCCAACCCCCCTCACCATGAGCCAAATTTTTGATACCTTCAGCAAATTCAAACAAAATTTTCAAATAATAATTAACTACTCCCAAGAAAGGTGTTTTGAACCTCCAGGCTCAGCTTTGCAATAGCTGTTGTTAATGTAAAGGCATCCCAGTCCATAAACATTGTTATGGGCAAAACATCAGCACAGAAATAAAGCTGAGTTTCCACTTAAACTGTGTGACATGCCCCAAACATGGGAATGCTGATATAAAACTCCAGATTCTCAGAAAATTTTGCAACTGGTTCAGTTTTAGTGAAGAAAACAAACAAGAGTCTCACAAGAAAATAATTTCATTTAAAAAAAAATCAGGCTTTAGCTCATAAACCCCACACCATGTTCAGAGCAAGTTTTATATTTAAGGAGACAAGAGGGAACACTAGTCCAGGTTGCTCCAAGTCTCATCTGACCTGGCCTGGAACACTTCCAGGGATGGGGCAGCCACAGCTTCTCTGGGCAACCTGTGCCAGGGCCTCACCCCCCTCACAGGGAAGAATCTCTTCCCAATATCCCATCTATCCCAGCCCTCTGTCAGTTTGAAGCCATTCCCCTTGTCCTGTCCCTCCAGACCCTTGTAACCAATCTCTCTCCATGTTTCTTTTTGCTCATTCAGGTCCTGAAAGGCCACAATTAGGTCACACCAAAGCTTCTCTTCTCCAGGCTGCACAATCCCAACTCTCCAGCCTTTCTTCATAGGAGAGTTGCTCCATCCCTCTGACCATCCACCCAACCCTACAACTGAGAACTGCTCTCTGTTCTCTGATGTTTCTCCAGCCTCTCTGGCTCTGCCTGCAGCAGGAGGATGTGGGGGGGTGTGGGAGCAGCCCGTTCCTTACCTTCGCTGTCCGTGAGCACTTCCATGCGGCCGCTGAACATGGCCTTGAGCATGGTGTCCTGCTTGGTGAGGGTCTGCATGGTGGTGTAGTACAGGGCCCCCCCCACGTTCAGCTTCACGTACTTGGAGCTGGGGCTCGTGCCCTTGAAGGACGTCGTGCGCGTCGCAGCCGCCGGCACCGCTGAGCTCACCACGCTCTCTCCCGACATCTCTTCCTGCAAGGAAGGAGTCCCCAGGTCAAGGAAGAAGCTCCCAGGTCAAGGAAGAAGCTCCCAGGTCAAGGAAGAAGCCCCCACAAAGGGACAAGGAAGGAGCCCCCACAAAGGGACAAGGAAGGAGCCCCCACAAAGGGACAAGGAAGAAGCCCCCACAAAGGGACAAGGAAGGAGCCCCCACACTGGCAGTCCCACTGTGTGACCCCCAACCCTGTGTTCCCACGGGGTGTTTCACATCCTGGCTCCCCTCGGCCCCCTTGTAAAGTTCTCAAATGTTTTAGACCTTTGGTTTTGTTTTGTTTTCTTTCTGACTGTCAGAAACTGAAGGACAGAAATCAACTTGGCCTGATCTTTTTCTCAGGGTTTTTCCTGGGAATGCTAAGCTGGGTCCTGCACTGCAAAGCCAACACTTTCCCACAACAACTGCTTTCATTTCTTATGCAACTCCTACGGCTCAAGCTCTTACTCCATCAATAATCTGGAACATAACTGGGCAATTCCCAACACACACAACTGGAGCAGATGTGTCAAAATGCATTTTCAAGGTTTGTTTCCCCTGGAGCACAGATGGCTCTCCAGAGAGCACACGTGGCTCCAGGGAGAGCACACATGAGCTTCCCACTCTGTTCCCTGCCCTCCCACATTTCTCCACACACCAAATCCCACCATCCAGCATCCCCCATTCCCTGTGCCTGCAGTCTGCACACAGAGTGGCCCCCAGCCACATTCCCTGTCCCTGAGCTAAGGAGGTCACACTGGAACAGGCACAGGTTGGCTCAGCTCCACAAATGCCCCAGAGCCGCTAACGACAAATCCTTAATCACCCTGAGTCTCCCTGGACTTCTGCCTCACAGGGACAGGGTGGGATGATTAACACCCCCCATCCCTGCACACCCAGCTCCCACCCCTTCCACAGCAATTGGATAACACTTCCTGCAATGAGTTTTGCTGCACTGCCACTAAACACAACACTGTCCTGTGGCAAATCCCCATGGAGCTGGAGCTGTGTGTCCATGTTGTGTGTCCAGGGTGAGGAGCAGGATGGGCAGGGCTGGCC